ATGTAACAGGAAAGAACAGTTAAATTAATGATCCAAAGTTCTTTAGTATTTATGTTTTTATTTTTAATTTCTTTTTATTTAACATATAATAAACATTCCTAATTTCTTCAAAGCAGAGACCTCTTCATAATGAAAGACAAACGAATTAATAGATAAATTTTTAATAAATTCAAACATTAATTTTAGTGGATGCCCATATTTGAGTTGACGTACGCTGAATTAAATGCTGGTTTCTCCTACAAAGTTTTAAATCCTTATTTATTAAGTTTTTTTCGACTTCGCAGGTCGTTTAAACATATACGAGTATCCACTAAAATTAATTTTTGCAATGGTAAACATATATATATATATATATATATATATATATATATATATGTGTGTGTGTGTGTGTGCTGTGTGTGTGTGCGTGCGTGTGTGTGCGTGCGTGCGTGCGTGCGTGCGTGTGGAACAGACTATTTGAGAAGGTACAAAACACGACGGTTTCACTATGATCTATGAATGTTTGTCCTAATTGGAAATCTGGTATTATAACGTTGACTGCCACAACACAGCAATCCCACGTCCAGCAGTAAGAGACTACGTAGAGGCCCAAGATGACACTTCAAGGATCAATTGAAGACATTACTGACACAGACCAACATCGAACATGACACCTGCGAAACCATTGCAGAAAATCGGTATTCCTGGCGACCATCCGAGACTTTCGAGTTCAACCGTCAACATAGTGAGAATCCGTGACGTGCTGCCAGGAAGGCTTAACACGCCCAGTCGTGTCCACGCCTCTGTGACTCCTCCACACGAATGTTCCGGAGTAGGCTGGGCCCTCACAGCCATTTCCGCCACCGGAGCCAGAAGGGAGAACGGGAAGAAAGAGCCGATGACGATCCCAATGCCCTGATATGAGCGGCTTCTGACTACTACAAGTTACTTAGCTTTGCCTAAAGCTGATATCATCAACAATAGATCCTGTAAAACTGTGTTTCTTGGTCAAACAAGTTATCTTTCCAGTTACTTCAAAAACATTCGTCTTTCAGTTTTGGGTACAATTTAAAGAGAATATATAAATAGTTTTTCACAAAAGAAAATGGTTGATGTAGATATTACTCAACGTTGCGCTCCTGTCAATATAATTTGGACTAAAATAAAATAAAAATAAGTAACTTACAGATTTCAAGAAGCCATCAGGTACAACTAGCACAACAATTAGTTTGTACCATATCTCTTTTACACATTTCAGTGCCGTACATGAAAATAAACTGCGAACATTCAACGCCATTCAGTTTGATATCACTTCGGTCTGTACAGTTGGATGAGAATGGTGACGTCAGAGAGAGATCAACAAGTGTTTGATTTTTGAAGTCTGTAAAAGAAACAAATTCACCAGGTAAATATCTTTCCGATACCATAAGCGGATATATTTATTAGTAGCTTAAAAGCCATCTTATCGGGCGGCATTTAAGCTAGCTCCTGCAGAGGGCTCTTAATTGCGCCTTCATAACAGTAGGTAGGGAAAAGTAGATGCGATAGGCAACAATAAACTTCATCGCTGCATTGCATTAATATTTAAAATTACCTTTTAAAAGTTCAACAATAATTCTTCTGCCGCCACTCAATTTAAAGAGACTTTGATGTACATAGGTTCTTACTTTTCGTAGAGACAATTATTTTTATTTCATGTGTAACTTTCACTGGATTTCCCAACTAATTTTGATTTTTTTCTAAATTACTTCAAATTTTTATCGTACTAAAAATTCGTCGCCAAAAAAATCACGTAAAAATCGTCGAAAAAAAAAATCACAGTAATGAAAACTTGGGAAACCAAAATTTCAGGATTGCGGATGCGACTTTGTTTTTAATTTGCTCACAGTCAGCCTGATTCCAAAATGGTATGATATGTTGGGCTATGGCCTCTAGGAGTAAAGTTGAAAAAGCGTGACACAGTGACACACTGACATTCATATTTATTATACATAGACCGATTAATGCTCACCTGCCACCTAACAAAAAAACAAGTACTAGATTTTTCCGAGAAGACTGGCCAAATCCGCCCGTTCCAATACAAAATGGACAATGCATTGAATTCGGTTTATCATGGAAATGACCAAATAATGCAGATATTCCTGAATGAAAATATCTACCATTTTGATTGAGTTTATTGTTTCCTGAATATATATTATATGTAGGAATTAACATGTATACATAATTCATAATAGATAATATAAAAATAATATGGAAATAAATACAATCAAGAAAATTTTAAACATAAATATATATATATATATATATATATATATATATATATACTAGCAGTAAAGTCCGGTGTTGCCCGGGGATGTAACAGTAAGAGATAGATCAAGTATCAACCATCATAAAGACTGAAAAATAAAATTGACAAAGATTATTGTTTTAGGTTGACGGACACGCATGTCTTAATTAGCTTTTTTTTTTTTTTTTTTTTTTACGAATTGGTCAAACTCAAACTCAAACAAAAACATTGTTTTCAATCGTTATGATTCTACCGATTGAGTAGAATTTTATTATAAACAATTGTCTTGTAAATGGATTTTTTAAAGCATTCTGAATGTAAAAATAAAGAAAAAAAGTGTGCAAGACAATAAGAAACACTACCTGCTAAAAAAAGTGGTGTTTTGTTGAACACACACACACACACACACACACACACACACACACACACACACACACAAACAACCTGGGTTTTATAAGTATAACTCGATATGAGTTGGCCCCTTTCATTCTCGCGATTAATCGTGTTTTCAATTGATTTTGTACAAAAACAATTGTGTTTTTCCAATTTTTGGTGCTGTTAGATCCATCGCAAGGTAATTTTACGTAGTCCTGTGAAGTTTTGTTGAAATCAGTTGAAAAATGTAGGAAATCCGATCCAATATATAAACGTACACACACACACACACACAATATGCGTTTTATAATAAGTAATATATATATATATATATATATATATATATATATATATATATATATATATAAATAAATGCTTCGTTGAATAATATAGACATGTGTGTACATATTTATACTGATCCTTTCCAGTTGTGTAATCAGTTTTTGATGTTGAGGAAGGCGCCGTAGATTTTTTTTTAACCCAAGTACTTTCGACCTTTTCTAAGATCATCTTCAGGGTAAATTACAAAGACAAACATTCTATTTTAAGACAAACACGCTCTATTGTTATAGAGATTTTTAAAAACACGCGAACCCGATCTGTTATAGTTATTTTAAAATTTTAAATTTATCAATTCGATTTATTGAATCTTTAACAAAAGCCTTTCATTGTAAGGGAACTGACCTGGTATTGGTAGAAATGTAAAATGGCGTTAGTACATAAATACAATATGAACTTTAATATGTTGTTGATATATCCGTAATAAATTTTGTTCATTGTTAGTTGATTTTGATACAGAGGACCTCGAGAATTTGAAGTTTTTTAAAAAATTATTTCCATGGTGTACTATATTGGTGTTGTCAACAAGTATTTTCCTATATTGTGAAGGTTGACAGGAATGTGTTTTTAGATGTGCAATAAAATTTGTATCCAACAAATGGAGTGTAAGACGTCTTGATAATATTGTGGTCGTCAAGTCAACTTATGTACTAACATTTTTGTCAGAGATACAATCTCATAAAAGACATTAAATATATATATATATATATATAGAAATAATATAAAAAAAATAAACCAAAGCACCTTGTCTGTCATATTTAATGAAGCTTGCATATATATATATATATATATATATATATATATATATATATATATATATTTAACAATAAAAATATTAAAAATTAAAATCTTCAGACACACTGGGTTGTATATTAATATTCTTTCGTTTATATTATTATTTCATTTTGATTCCTCTACTAGTTTCGGCCAACATGGCCATCATCAGGAGAAAAAATAATTTTCTGCTCGCTGGTAGCAGTGAACTACAGAAATAAATGTTTTGATGGAGAAAATGAAGTCTCTGTAGTTTTCATTTGTTTTTTTTTCTATTTCTTTTATTTTTTTTATTTATTTTTTTAACATGATTTTTGGACAGTTGGTCAAACAGTCTCTTTTAAGATGTTATTTGAGATAAGAGCTGGATGAATTCATGCTGCTCTGAATTCCCTTGGTCAGTTTGACAATTTTATTGGTTCCTGGAAAGGGGATGTGTCTCTGTTAAGTATGTGTGTGTTATTTGGTTCTTAGAGAGTGAGTGAGTATGATCTGTCTAAGCGTGTATAATACTATGGGTGTTTGCTATCCTTTAATTCATGAGGGAGTGAGTGAGTATGATGTGTGTAAGCGTGTATATTCGTGTCGGTGTGTGTATAAGTGTGAGGCCTCAACACTTCCGAAAGAATGTCTGTCTTGTGTGGGTGAGAAATGTGTGTAGGTTTTCATTTGTAGGGTTATATATATTAATACTATCTATATTTATGGTTACGCCCAGCTTGATAGTGCGTTATATATTGGGCGTGTTTCTAAAAATAAATACGCTAAAAATCCATCATCATCCCTCCCGTGCGCCGACGGCTTAATGGTTAGAATCTCCAATTCAGTCGGGTTTCGATCCTAGCTAGAGGCAACCGGATGTCTAGCCACACTGATGAGCTGCGAAACAGTCTGTCTGTGGGTGACTATATATATATATACAGGCTTCATTAAATATGACAGACAAGGTGCATTGATTTACTTTTTTATATAATTTCTCATATGATCTTATAATCTTTTTCTTTTCAGCAGATAAATTATATAAAACTGTCTAAATTTTTATATTTTTCCGAGAATACACACACACACACACACACACACATATATATATACAGTGTGTGTGCGTGTTCATGTATACGTGTGTGTGTGTAAATGTATGTTTTAGTTATTTAAATACAAACAGGCATTGACATTCATTCATATTTATTTCTAGTCTATAAATGTAATTGGTTGATAAATCTTTCTCTCTTCTCCAATCTCTGAACATTTACATGGAGAAATAATGAATGAAGCAGACAATGTCAAATGCCGTTGACGGAAAGAAAAGACAGAAAAAATATGTTACACGAATCTTCGAATGGCCTAAACCTGTAGATTTGAAAATCAACTATAGTCTTATGAAAAAAAAAGAAAAACTTCAAATGAAAACTATTCTTTTTCGTATTATAAGGAACATTTTAGTAAATAGGTGGCAGCGTAGTTGCATTTCGCTATACCTGCTTAATAATTAGCATCATAGAATTCATAGGCTTAATTTCAGAGCCCAAATTCAAATTCCCATGCAAATATTGTACCGTATGCCATTAGCTTAGAGTTTAGTATACAGACTGTCAGCTCAGATCTTGCGAAACGGCCTTTCCACAGAGATCTTGCGGAATAGCCTGCTGACTCAATGCTTACGACACAAGCTGTTAGTTGAGAGCTTGGGACACGCCTTTCTAGCTAAGATTTTAATTAAATGCGCAGCCAAGATTTGTTTATGATCATGTACTAATTGACTTAGTACTTATATGTATTTTGGAACCTTTGGATCGATATGATAGGATGAGAAAGAAACGATCAGATTTGAACACTTGTCGTCAGTTCTCGTGAGAGAAACACTTACCTTTGCAAGAAGCACAACAGTACTGCTGTATATTCGGATCATTTTGGCACTGTATTGTTCCGTGTGCTTTCAGGAACTGTGGACACGTGTAACGGGAAAGGATGAGAATGGGGACGTCTTTGCACGTATCTTGGGATGTGAAATCTGAGGGAAAAAAAACCCCAAAAAACAGACGGTCATTTGAAACGTTGACGAAGAAATGAGACACATGATCTTGTCAGGATACGGATTCAACAAGAATTTGGAGAGTGTAAGCAAGTCAGCAATTAAGGATCGTTCTAAAATTATGGAGACTAAAGACAAGAAGAATCATCGTGATTTCTTTCAAGCAATTGTGATAATACACGCGAGAACGAGATTTCAACAGGAAAATGTAACGATGGAATAACATAATCTGGTATAATAAATAAAAAGGTGCAGAAATCATATCCTGAAGAACTAATAGCATTCGATAAAGAGTAAAAAAGAAAGGAAAGAGAAAAGTTGATTGAAAACAAATTTTGTAAGTACTTAAAACCCTAAATTCCCAAAGCATTCATTTCAAAGGTAAGAATTGTCTGTTAAAAGATAAACAGTCTATATAACATTTAATATACTCATATACTTTATCTATCTATCTATCTATCTATCTATCTATCTATATATATATATATATATATATATATATATATATATATATAATATCAAATAAAGTGGTTCTTTTTAATCTAAAATATTAAGGGAGAGCTCAATGTATAGAATACAGAAATATGATATACAACAAGGAAAATCTTAACACATTTCGAAAATGCAGTTTATAAATCAAGATTTATTTCAACAAGTAATTATATTTTCGGTCTGATTGATTTATTGAAATAAGTCATGATTTATAACCGTATATTCGTGTTATGCTCTTCCTTGTTGTGAGCAACCCACCCCCAAAGTTAGTAAAAGTATTTTTGATAGACACTATATATATATATATATATATATATATATATATATAAAACAATATATATATATATATATATATATAATATATATATATATATATATATATATATAAATATATATATATATATATAAACTATATATATATATATATATATATATATATATAATTATTTTTTAAAAAATTATAACATAAGTATGTTATAAAAATCACTACAAAAATAGCCATTTTGTTTCAACACACTCTGTGTCTTATCAAGTGATGATGTTGTATTGAGCACTCTTTTAAGAATAGTAATTGTTGGTTATTAAATTCATTCCCGTATATACCAATTATATACTTTAGTATATATATATATATATATATATATATATATATATATATATATATATATATATATATATATATATATATATATATATGAAAATTTCTCCGATTTAACTCGTAGAGAAGACAATATTTATGAATAAAAATGACAATAGGAAAACTGGTAATTGCTGACGCGTTTCGTCCAATGTGGACTTTTTTTTCGTATTTTGCTCTGATAAAGTCCACATTTGACGAAACGCGTCAGCAATTACCAGTTTTCCTATTGTCATTTTTATTCATAAATACATACATACATATATATATATATATATATATATATATATATATATATAATCTGAAATGTATATTAAAAGACTTCTAACAAATCACTTCCCGTGGAAATTCATGATCAATTGTGTAATTCAACAGAAAAGGAAAAATGAGTAAATGACAAGGCAAGATTGATCAAATAAATAGAGGAAAAACTAACATACATAGGGTTCATAAAGGAGCAAATATTGCTGAAAGAAACAAAAAAGAAACCTGTGAAGGTTCATGATCCCTTACGTCGTAAAGGACATGAGAGAGAGAGAGAGAGAGAGAGAGAGAGAGAGAGAGAGACAAAGAAAGAAAGAAAGAAAGAAAGAAAGAAAGAAAGCGAAAGAACTGTGTGTTTTGTAGAAAAGAATAAGCACCCCTAAAAAGGGAAAGTAGATGCCGACGGGTGATCATTATTTCTCAATGCTTACTTTTATTACAGGAAGCACAGCAGCGTTTGTAGAAGTCTTTGTTTTTGCAGATAAGTGGTGAAGCCTGGCTGCAGTCGACTAATTTTGGGAGATCGGGATAAGGACAGTCATCTGAAAAATAATGTATAATATAGAATTAAAATTAATTTTCATGAACCAAAATATAATTATCTACTGTAAAGTACATCCGCAATAATGAATTTTCTCGAAGTCAATTGTGAGTAAATGAATAGGAATAAAGAAGTCTACATTACCTGTAACTGTCGACGCTGTGCTGTTCCCAACGCAATTTCCCAGAAAGCACCACTACAAGAAAGAAAAGATAGCTAATTTGAAATGAGCTGCTTTTGGCATATCTTTTTTTTTACTCTAGTGGAGTAAAAGATTATTATGCAAAAAAACGTTAAACACTAAAATAGGTAAGTAATGATTAAAGAAAGTCTGCAATTTGCTTTTTGACTGAGTTCTTAACATATTTCTCATTCTATTTCTCTTTAAAAGTAAAGGTTGTATTTATCTCATAAAATAAGAAAAATAGAATAATAGGTAAGAATGATTTTTCTAGAAGCGAAATTTCATAAAAAGGAATAACCAACCTTTTTGTTGCCACAAGGCGTACCTATGGCTGCTTTCTGTTCACTTTTGGCAACACACCGTTTCGTGGATGGAATATAGCAAAGCATCTTGTAGCAAATTTCGGAAGGATGGTTCGGTGGCTACAAATAGAATGAGAAACGGATGACTCATTAGTTTTCCCAAAGGTATCGATTCTTTATATAACTTTTCTTTTCTGGTACAAACACGTCCTACTCGACAATTTATCATTAAAAGTTCTTAGATATTGCATGAAATATATCTGGAACTTCATCCATGTTCCCAATTTGACATGGTTCACAACAATTTTCATTTCCTGTATTTATTGCAAATTTATAAAATTATAATATTTTTTGACAAAAAGGAATTTACAATTTAAAAAATGACTCTAAAAATGCAATTATGATACAATAAAAAGGTTTAGATTTCTCTGAGGTCAAAAAGAGGGATATTTTTCTTCTGGTTGTCGAGGTCGATAATCAAGACTAGCAAATAGGTATGACTTAAAATACTGATTATCATGGTAGAAATGTTGATTTCACTTGGAAGACTAATGAAACAAAATCCTGGCTCCTAAAAGGACATTACTCTTTAATAAAAGATTAATAAATACGGAGAAAACAGCCAGTTGGTTTCATTCCTTTGGAATGACACACTGCATCGGATATATTTTGCCACATCATATCTTATCTATATAACGAATAAATATTTATTAGAATCTAAATATTTGCCGAATTATTGTAACATCTATATGCACAGTTACGATGAATGTTGGTTGGTTCTGTACAAATGTAAACAAACGGTAGCCATTTGAATGAAATATTTTAACTTTCGAAATTGCAAATTATTAGCTATGTTTTCTGTTTAATTATTTGAAGATGATTATACGAATGAAAAGCCAAGTTTAATAAATTCAGAGTTTGGAAGAGATGAAGAACCTTTGGAATTGCAAAACGGATTGGCAAGTCCTAGGAAAAATTAAAAAAGTTCCAATGCTTATCTGATAAGGTCAACATGATGACGGTTGTCTCGTCGGTTTGTATTCCATATAAAAATAAAAGTTATAAAAGAAAATTCATTGTTGCAAGCTATGACATTTGGGGATTTTGTGACAGCCAGGAAGGATCGAAGCGCACATAATGTCGATTCCTAAATCAAATATCAAAGCGTGTGTCGGACTGATCACTAATGCTCGTTTAAGAAACATCCATGAATAGAATCTTACGGAATGAACAGCATAGTTTTCTTTCTTTTCACTGATAAATGCCAAGCGATTTCCAGACCGTATTAAGACCACATACATTACATTCTTGAAAGCAAATATGACGCCATTGTTCAAGAATGCAAACGTCTTCTGAAATCAAATGTTCTTAGGCGCGGCAATGCTGTTTCAAATTAAACAAAGAAAAAATAAATATCTGAAAAGGTGTTTGAAAGATTTGTTTGATGAAGACTTCGATTTGATTGCCCATCAGTAATCTGATTGGAAATGCGTGAATCATTTTTAATTGGTAGACGAGAATTTAACAACAAAATTGAAATTTCGAGTGTTATTTAAATGTGCAATTTGGTTCATATGAAGAAATACGCATAAAATCAATGGATGCTTCAGAACATGGATCATACTTTTAAAATTAATATTTTTTTTTTACTTCTTTCTTATGAACCTGTTTTCGTTTATTTGGGTTCATAACATTTGTTTTTGTATACTTTGGGCACATTCCGGTAATTATAATTTCTACTTACAGCATGATTTTCTTGGAGATTTATTAATCTGGTTAATAACATGAAAGTTGCAAAATCCTATAATATTCATAAAATTGTTCCTACATCATCAGAGTGACATGTCGTTTACTATAATTTAGAGACATCAACTGAAATATGCCGAGGGATAGGTGGGAAAATATGTGCATAAATCCTTTCACTGATTTTCTAAAAATTAGGGAGCATTAAAAGTAGTTAAACATAAAAGACAATGTATAGAAAATGAGAAGATAATAGATTAAACTTCCGTTTCTAACTTCTGTGGCTCTTCCCTGCTTGTCTTTCATTGATGAGTCGCTTGATTGCCGAATCAACGCAATCCTCGTCTCTGATAATAATAACAACTATTATTAATGTGTATGTTCATGCCTAATGTTTGGTGTAAATAATTATAGATACTAACTGACAGAAAGTTATCAATAATTTCTAGAAACTTTCTTAGTATCCTTGTAAACCCAGCAATACCGGGGCGTAGACAGTTTCAACTCTTTTTTGGATTTTCATTCCAACCAGTCAACGTTTTTGAATGGTTCTATGCTTGTCTACTATTATGGGAACGATTTTAACCTTCATATTCAATTTGTTTTTCAAAGCTCGCGAGCAAGGTCCTGATATTTTCAATTTTTCATTTATTTTCTCGTTTACTGGAACAGCCACATCTACGATCTGTGGCAGATCCAGTGTTCTTGTTTGAATATTTAGTTGGTCTGATTATCAATGTTCCAGAGTATATTATGATTTTTGTTTTCCAGGGTAGTTTCATTTTTGTGCTGAAATCAGTTGTCAACATGGGCGAACACAATTTTTTGCATAGTTCTCAATGTATTGATGTTGCTACCCTTTCCTGTCCATTTTTGCATTATTTCTGGGAGAGTTTATTGCATTCACTGATAAACAAGTTTACGGTCACAGATGCGACATGTATTGCATTTTTAAAATGGGGTTCAATTTTCACCTTGATTCAGTTTTTCCTGATCTACTTATATTGGGAACACATCGATGAAACATTTCATTTCTTTCTTCAGATGTCCTTTGTATAGCCATGTCCATTATTTCCTTTCACAATGTTTTCCTTTCTTCGTACAGTGTTTTATTTCCCTGTTTCTTTTTTATATTCAGCTGAATGATCTTGTGTGTAATCGTTGCTTGAATGTTGCAAAAACGATAAATTATTACGAAGGTCATTTCATAACAGCTCTATCCAAACTTATTTAAAAATTAAATGTTTTCAAACGCAATTAAAATTAATGATTTGTTGGCTATAACAGACATATTAGAAAAACTATACATCAGAATAGATTTCTAATGAATTTCTCACTGAACTTTAATGACCAAAAATAATACTTGAAATGTATTTGTCTTTATTGTATTGTTTCTTTTTGTTTGCAATAGACCTAAAAATATCGTATATTCTAGGGTCAGTAAAATATCTAAATATATTTTTAAAAAGAGACGAGTTCACAAACGTTAACACGGCTCTACCCATGACATTAAAACTCGCAAATATGAATTTCAAATAAATACATGTAGAAGTGTACTCTATTTTCTAACTTGTCATTCTTGTCCGAGGTCAGTTTTTTTTTTATAAATGCCGCTAAATTTAATATGAAAGACAAATAAAAGATCAGATAGTGGATAAGAAAAATAATACGCTCACGCATACACACACTCTCACATGCTGGAAATAGAAATATACATCGATATTTACAGAAGCGCGTACAGACATATACGACCATGTGCTTTGTAGTATATATATATATATATATATATATATATATATATATATGATCTTTCTGAAAATGATTCTGTCACTTAAAATTAAAAGAAAAATAGCATACCTAGGGATTAGTGACAAAAAAATTGAGACCGCTGACATTTTTTACTATCTCCCATTTTTCTAAAAGTCTTTTTAGGGATTGTCATCAGTTGGCTCGTTGTATTCTCAATTTCACCCATGGTCTTAAATCTCTTCACTTTCAACGGGAGATTTCGCTTTGATAAACGATAGAAATCGTACAAAATTTGTGTTGTAGGGGAGGTAAAGAGGCCTGAGTGAAATTTTACCAACAAATCTTGTAGAAAATGTTACGAACAGGCTATCTAGATATGGGATATTTTGATTGTCGAAAGCAGTTCGGACAGACCCTCGTTGCTAAGGTTTTCTATGAGATTTGAATCATCATCAAAGACCTTCTCCACCAATCGAATAGTGTTTTCACATACAATGTTCCTCAAGTTCTACGGTATTATCAGCAGTTAGTAAATCCTTGACAGGACATATTGGAAGAGAGAGCAGTTGAAGAACTTTACAAAGAATGGTAATGCCAAGTGATCTCAAATGATCACAATTATCAATTGAATCAGATTTTCTGATTCTGATGACCAATAAGCGTTAAGCCACTCATACTAGATCACCTTATTCACACACACACACACACACACACACACACACACATATATATATATATATATATATATATATATATATATACACAAAGAATAATCACACATAGAATTAATCAGAAGTATCAATGCGATTATTGACGACATCCATCGCTAGAAAACATAATATATGCATTAAAATTCTGTTCATCCATATTTCTGATTAATTCTATGTGTGATTATTCTTTGTATGTAAATCATATGCTGCCTAATGTTTTATGTTTATTAAAAACTATCGATCCGCAGTAAATAAAAAATTCCTATAAAAAAAACTACTACTAAGACATTACACTATATTATTGAACTATATACTTAGTTCATGACATAAAAACTGAATACACTTGTAAAAATAGAATACGTGGATTTAACACATCACAAGAAAATTTAAATAAAATTCTCACTTAAAAATTTTGAAAAACTTAGCGTTGCGTCTTTGCACGTTCCGATATCTTACAACCGTCAATAATAGCAGATATTCAAAAAACATCTTTCGGTCGACATACAGGTATATCGTCTCAAGTTTTTGATTTTATAAGGAGAAAAAAAACACATGCCTGATGATGGATGGAAGACTGTCCGTAAGTACTAGCATTTTAACATCAAATAAACTGAAAAACTACAGACAACAAGTTTTTCTTCAAGGATCAAAACTCGCACTATGGATGAACAGGATTTTAATGCATATATTATGTTTTCTAGCGATGGATGTCGCCAATAATCGCATTGATACTTCTGATTAATTCTATGTGTGATTATTCTTTATGTAAATCATATGCTGCCTAATGTTTTATATATATATATATATATATATATATATATATATATATATATATATATATATATATATATATATTAAACTGTCACCTATATAGTGCAAGTAAACTTAGGTAAGTGACAATGGTATCTTTTTTTACTTAATGTCTTACCATTCTTTTCAGATACCATCA